GTGAATGTTATGTAGATGATCTAAATATCTAAGCGTAACCAAACAGGCTCAAAAGAGCGTAAAAAATGAGCCAAACTCTAATCTAGCATACTCTCAAGATTAGTCAAACCCTAACCGAAAAGGCAGCAGTAAAAAATGATTGAAGTTTAATCTAGCAGACTCTAAAAGTATCCTTTAAACATTAGGGCTCTCCAATAGCGGGAGGCCCGAGATATGTGATCACCAATTTGGGGACCATGTAAGGTGCATAATAGCATTGGAAAAATAGGTTGATTTGCAAGAAAGCCCCTGGAAAGTGGCATCCGACGAAGTTGAAACTTGGTAGAGTGATAGACATGCCCCTAAAAAGTTTTAAGACTAAAATTTTAAGTCCTTTAGATATTGTTTGATGTCTTTTCAAAAGGGCCTATGAGGGAACATGTTGGCGACCATACTGTTCACATGATGCATCAGGCACTACTCACAAGGCAGGAAGACAACAAACACAGGACAGTATCTTATTCTTTTGGCCATAACCCCCTAGACCCTATGATAAAATGAGCTAAAATTAGAAGGAATTATTCCATTCACAATGTCCTTTCCATCCATATATACATCATAAGGATTCATTGCTTGGATTAGTACATATTTGACCACAAAGTAGGTGACTAAAAGGGCTCACTTCTCGGTCGATTTCTCCCAAAGCTTGAGGTATTTTGAGTTTATATTTTGGAGGAACACTCTTCATTCAATGACAATTGTTTATAAAGAGACCATTTGTCTTTCGTACATGGAGGTCATAATAATTTCCACTCATTAGATGTAAAGTTGGATGGCTTGGAGTGAGACACGAAGTCTAAGAAATTTTTTTTTGAACTTTTTATCTTTTCAATAACACTCTTACAACCACCCATTTTAAAGTTTAAGGGACAAGAATGATCGTGACCTCCATGTATAAAAGATAAATGGCCTCTTTGTAGACAATCAGAAAACTAATGTTCTTATAAAATGACCTTGCCCACAAAAATCCCCATAGCTCCTTGAACACAAGGTGTTTTTGAATAAAACGTGTGGAAAAACAATATTAACTTGATTACCTACGAGTTTTTTCGAGATAAAATAGCCATGAATCCATAAAAAATGATCAAAATAAGGGAAAAATTTATGTAAAGCTGGGCCCTAAACAATCAAATTTGAGCCTATCTCAAAACTTTCACTAAAAGATGTTGTTTTGATACTCAAATATCTTCAAATTGATCATCTCGATACAAGATGCATAGACATGAGAAAGAAATGAATTTCAAGTTTTGAAAATAATGTATTTTGTAACTCATTTTTGGATCATCAATTTTCACGTTTTCATAGATTTATCGATCTGTACTATATTTGAAGCTTTAAACTTTATAAATAAATACAAAAATATATTTTAAGGCTATCACAAAGATTTAAACCACATTTCTCAACACTACTTGAAAGTAGGCTCTAATTTGATTGTTTAGAGCCTCGGCTCTATACAAACCGCACCCTTAAATTAATAGGGTAAGTTGAGGGAATGTAATAAAGCCCCAGAACTTCCAAAGGCAACCCCATTGATATTTCAACAAAAAAATTGCCATTTGAATGAACACAAGAGAAAATGTTAATTTACCCATTAAAATCTAACTTTTAAATTGCCCATTTGCTTCAAGGTCTGATCATTCTTCAGGCTAGAAGGATGAAACTTAGAGGCTTAGAGGGATGTCTAGAGAGAGAAAGCTAGTGTGGAGAGAGAGAAAGTGCTAACTTAAGCCCAAGTTTCCTAACCTAGAGAGAGAAACTCAACGCTCACCATCCCAACCCCAACAGTGACAAGCTAAACTCCAACCTAAACCTAATCCCATGCAACAGAAGAAGCAACACACTCTTCCTGGATTGTCGAAGACAAGGCCACTTCCCTACTCCTTAGTGGTAGGAATTGAGTCTAAGATATAGTGTTGCAAATTGTCAAGCACTATTTGAGATATCTACGATTGTTCCTTCATCTTCCTACTACCAACTTACTTTTTAGCTTGTGTAGGGGCATCCTGCCAGTAACATATAAACTAAGAGTGTATATTCAGGCTTACGAGGACTCACGAACCTGTATATAACTTCAAATTTTAAAAATTTATTATATACATCCCTTTTTTTGCCCCTTTTTTGTTTTAGAAGTGCCCTCAATTGGGAACATGGAGTTCAGAACTAGCTTGGTTTATTTTTGCCCTCATTCCAGGTTCAACACTCCAAATCCCACACTTTTTTCTAGTTAAAGTCAGTTCAGAATTCCAAGTTCCAAAACAAGAATTTAACCAAAAACCCTCCAAGTTTAGTCCTGACCTGCTTGTGGGTGTATGTGTCTGTCTGTGTGTGTGGGTGTGTTGGCAGGCGACAGTTCAGGACTTGGAGTTCTAAATAGAGATCCTAACTAAAACTATGTTTGAAATTCCCTTTTTTTTTTTTTTTTTTGGGCAATATTGTTAGGAATTTCAAGTTTTAAGCCGAAATTTTAATTCAATGAATGGTTTGAAACTTGGTGTTCCAAACCTAGAACGAGGGCAAAATAACAAAAAAAAGCCAATCAGAACTCCAAATTCCCAATCAAGGACATTTTGGACAAAAATAAAAATAAGGACACGCTCGTTAATTTATAATGAAAAATTGTCTCATGCGGCTCGACCGCATTCCTACATATGCGGTCCAGAAAGTCTTAAGCATCCATCTTAAAGATAGATGCAAGTAAGGTGTTCCATCTAAATATAATGAAAACTAACACTCCAAATGTTTTCTCACTAGAATTATTATTTCAAGTTTTTCAAATTTATTTATTTTTTTATATTCATGATCCCCATGTTAGAGATTACGTGTCCTTAAAACTTAAGTCTTAAAATCCATTTCGAAAATAGATTATTAAGAGGCCTTCATTTCTACATATGCAGGCTCGGCCACATAAAAACCATGTCCATTTATAATTTGGGAATATTTTTCAAATACCCTCAAAATAAAAACACATCTACTAAAATTTCTCATTATATCGCATGGCCATGTATTAACGCAAAGCAGCACACAAACAATGAGCTACACTGCATCTATCTCTCCATTCTCAATGATCCGGTTGGGATGAACATTTTCTCCAAAGTAGAATAACATCCATTTTAAGCACAGGAATGGACAAACTCCATCACAATTGCCCGTTTGTGATGAAAACGGACAATTGAGATGAAATGCAACACGCTGGTTGTGTGCCTCATGATGTATCACAACGGCCCGCATGACATGTATAAGGTTTTTTATACCTGAAAGTTTCATACTGCCCCCTGTTTTTGTGCCAATTTCATGAGAGCCCTTTAGTTTTAGTTTTTTATTTCAGGTGGCATTAAATAAGACTCAAATAATTAGGATACAACTTGGATGATGAAGATAGTTAAATAAATTTTAAAAATATCATTGGACCCTACTGTTACCTCTCACCCCTCTTTTTTTATATTTTACTTAAAAAACTACCCATAAAGAACCTCCCTTAACCCATTCAAGTTCTTTCCCCTTCTCTCCTATTTCTCCCATCGAGCTGCTCTCTCTCTCTCTCTCTCTCCATCAATTCATTATTTACTGCACAAATTATTTATTAAAGCAGTTGATGAGCTTGTTCCAACATGCAAAATTCTCAGGCACCATCTCCCACCAGACCATGTACACTCTTGTGACGAGCTAAACCCATGACCCATTGCAAAAAGTCGTTAAATTTGATAATTGTTGGCTCTTCCAGCTTTCAAGTGATCCGGATCCCACCACACAATCTTTGTTCTCATTCATAGAATGGAAGAACATTAGTGTTTTTTTTAAGGGCAAGAATTAATATAAGGTTGTAACATTATCTGTAGAAGAAGATTGTGTTTTCAAGGGTGAGAATGGTTGTAACCTTACCTTTAGAAGACGAATGTGATGATCTACACCGTCCATTGTATGTGGATATTGTAGATTTGAAATGTCTTTTAAAAAAGTGGCCAAGGTTATAACCTTAATTCTATAAATACAGTTGTAACCTTATACAAATTTTTTCCCATTTTGTTTTAATAGTAGGAAGACTGCTATTTTTCAATTTAATGAATAGAAAGAATCTTAGCAGTCAAATCTCAAAAGGAAGATTTTCATGGCATAAAGTTCGTAATTCAACTAAGAAATGAAATCTTTCGGTCCTAACGAGATATAAGAAATGATTTTCACAAACCTAATGAGATATTGAAACAAGAATATAAGAAATGAAATATTATAAGCCTAACCCTAAACCCACCAGAAAAGGCCCAAATCAAAAGAAACACTCAAAAATAGAGGTGAACATAATAATCCTCATCATCCTCCAAAAGCTTCATTACAGGGGATCCATTTCCAACAAATTGAATCTCTTCTTTCTAGTTCTTCTACACATAACGGGAAAACAGTATGGGTTTGGGCTAGCGGTAAAAGAGGAATGTAAGGGGAAAGGACTCGAATGGTTGAGGAGCTGTATATGGCAGTTACGAAAAAATATGAAAAAAAAAAAGGGGGGAAGAGGTTATGGGTCCGATGACAGAAGTTATTTGATGCCGCCTGAAAGAGAAAATCTAGGGAGCCGCCAATGTGAAATTGAACTGAAAATCAGGGTCCAAATACAAAAAATTCCTTTTTATATTGTAGACTGGAAACAACACGTTTTGGTAACCATGTTGATGGCACATGAGAAATGCTGATTTCTTACACATCAGATCAAATGCATTGTGAAGCATAAAGTTGTGGCTGCAGTTTATTGGATTGCGGCTAAACTAGATAAGCCAATTTTAAGCCATTCAGTCTTGGCCTCGCCAATAAGTTCACTCCAAGAGTCATTCCTGGAATCTATTATCAGCTATAATGGTCTAGCCAGATTTCAATAGGTACTTAAGAATATCCAAAATGGCACATCATAATGGTAACAAGATACTAGAAGCTCTTTGTTTTCACAGATGACAAATGCACAGATCCTTGCTCAATGATGAAACCATACTGCCCCTTTGGTTTTCTAATAAACACTCAAATTTTGTTCAAATCCACCAAAACACTACATGAGAGAAATCATGGAGAGTTTCAAATGAATAAGGGGGTGCTCCCAAATAATGGGATTTTTCAGAAAAAAATGTAAAAGGAAAAAAAAAATGAAAGAAACAAACAAAACAGGAAAGAATAGAGGCCAGGCTTTCACAAGGGCCAAGTTCGATGATACAATATTCTGCAGTTCAAACAAACTATAGCAGAATTAAGGTGGAGGACTACACAACAGTCTTGCCTAATAAACGCTTGCGGATCTGCAATTATGGGAGTACATGTATTAAAACCAAACAAACATTTATTACACAATAAACTACAAAGAAATGAAAAGGAAAAACATGAAAAACAAGAAAGAGAATCGTGAGCAAGAGCAAGTAATAAAGTGAACTGAACCTCAGGCAACTTCTGTCGGAAAACTACATCCAGCCTAGCATCGAGTGTGTTTTCACACAATTTTTCCATCTCGAGATGCTAGCACCAAACCTCCAGAGCTGAATCACAGTAAAGAGAAAAGTTTTTAGACATTGATCTTTTAGATATCATCATACCAGCACTATCAGAAAGACCAGATTACCAATTTCGAATCAAATTAACAGCAAAAGTTCAAGTGTTCAAAATTGTTGCTCAAGGATCCTATGTTTTTCCTGTTTCAAACCAACCCTCATCTACACAGACAATATACAAAATTAAGGTGCCAAATTTCATTATGTTATTTCTTTCATCATTTAATTACTCAAGTGCACAGAAAGATACACATCAGAACTTAAAAAGAGTGATCAGATTTGTTATATCTTGTTACTCCTGATGCAACTCACGATCCTGTGGCAGCAAAGTGTCATTTGCAGCATTTACCCTTTTTTATGTATTGATCTTCCAACCCCTTAGAGCCCCAAAAAACAACAAATGGCAGGAGGTGTGTAGGTTAGCTAAGTTTGAACCACAATGTCAAGGATGGAACCTTCTAATTGATCTAGTTGAATGAGCCATTTTAACATTAAAAGAGGTGCCAATCAAGAAAACATAGAGATGGTTCATCCAACCACTATTGGACACTAACGGGCCTAGCGATCTAAAGCAAGAGGAAACCCATTACTTATCTAAAAGCAGAAAAAGGAAAACAAGAAGTTTGGGCGTCCCACGTAGAGACTTTCCACCCACATCCTGGAGCATGCACATGCACATCAACACTTACACAAATAAACTTCTCATGAATTGTCAAGAAATACACGCTGCAACTTTTTGCATAGGCATCTTAAGGGATGAATGATTGTTAATTTCAGTACTTAGGGATACTGTCCATGTAAACAAGGGGTTGTTGTGCAAAATGTGTTCGTATGGATATATTACTCCTAGAGATAGCTAATCAAACAGAGAGAGAGATACAAATACAAATGATTAAAAAATTCACCCAAGATTGCATATAACCTAGGTTTTTTTCTTAACATAAAAGACTAGGTACGAGGAGTTCCATGAACCCTTAGTTATCATGTTTCATTTACATAAATCTCATTTTGTACAAGACTGAAAACCCTTGATTTGGATTTCAGGACTATGAAAGAATCAAAGAAACAAAACAAGAGATAGGCCTCGAACTTTAGGACTTATAAACATCTCATATACTTGGTTACATTTGCAGGAAGGTCACCCTGCCTTTGTCATTCGATTCCTTTCCTTAATCAAGCCCTAATATCGGGTTTCTCTCTCTCCAAACAAAGCTTTTGAGTTCCTTTGAGTTACAGAAGATCCTTTTTGCAGTACCCTGCTCTAGAGAACTAGTACAATATCATAAATGTGCTTTATAGGGCATTTGGAGAGATTAACATGATTTAGACATGGATATTTGTCTAAAATCATCTCACCTCACTCTCATAAAAACGTACAAGGATAGATATCAGATGAGTTCAAGCATATCCAAATGTGTACATGAAACATCCCTGAGAAAATCTCAGGTAGGCAGATATCAACATTGACTGATGGTCAAGCAGATGGGACATGTGCAGTCACCATGTTTCATTAAATTTCTTACTAACCACGAGGTTTTGTGCCTCATCTTTTACAGGCTCATAGAGCAATGGTAACAATCTTGAGCAAAAAGCATGAATGATGAGTGAGATATTAATTGTTGAAACCACCTCATTGCAATTTCATCGAATGGCTGCAACCAATGGAGCTGTTGACTGCTTTCAAATAATCCTTTGCTAGGATTGTAAGAGCATCTCATGAGGAATATGTCCATCAAATTTCATAAGAAAACTCTCCAAGAATTGGGAGAATCTTAGTTTGAAATTCAGACCAACAGTAAAAATGCAGTCTGCTACAATTATAATTTTTGAGGCTTGAATCACTTCCAAAAAACAAACCATTATTAGGATTGTAGAGCAGTGTACGAGGAACAGAACCACCAATTTTCATGAGAAAACTCCTTAGGATCAAGGAGAAATCCTGATTCCAAGTTAGATTATCAGTACGATGACCAGTATTTCCTGGCTTATAAGCATGAACAGTGTTTCATGCAATTGGACATTCCTGCCCTTGATAACCAGTGCAACCAAAAGCAGGTCAAACAATGTCCAAACTCTATGAAATTTCAACAATGGGCCCATAAAGCATTATATTGAAAATCTATAAGTTTCAACCCCTATTGAGGATTTTTTTTTTTTTCCGACTGTCAATAAAATTTTTCTTTTTTTTTCGTCTAGGTATTCCAAGTTAACAGTGGTCAAGCATTCTGACTGTCAACAAAACCTGAAAGCAAGTCAAATGATATCCAATTATTATAAAACTGGACAAAAGTCGTACATTGCCTTGATTAAATTCCCACAAAATTTGAACTCAAACTGACTGTTTGATAAGATTTCAAAATGCAAACTGATGATTAGGCCATAAGGGCATGCTTTGACTGATGGTGGCTTCAAAGCAGTATCAAATGACATTCAAACATTATCAAATTTGGAGGATAAGCTTATGATGTCTTAAATCTAGCGCATCTCAGGCTATTTCATTAGATTTTGGAATTGATAGGCAGGGCCCATAGAGCCAAATCTGGCCCTCGGTGATTTGTTGATTTCTAATGATGGATCAAAATGATCCAAGACTTACAATGACAATGATTTGGCATATTCATATTGTTAAATTTGATTGGGCTTGGGGAGTATCATTCCTATTGCCTATGAAAATCTAGTGCATCTCAGGCTATTTCATTAGATTTTGGAATTGATAGGCTGGGCCTATAGAGCCAAATCGGGCCCTCAGTGATTCGCTGTTTCTAATGATGGATCAAAATGATCCAAATCCTTATAAGTTCTTACCATCGGCTTATGATGCCTACATTGATCATCATTCCAAGTTTCACCAGGATCCCAACCCGATGCAGTCAAAGTCCATATTGACCACGGTCTGGCTTAACAGCAATTATTGACCTTTGGTCTATTCACCCATCTTCACATATAAACCATTGGGGAAATTGCTTTAGGTAAAGTTGGATTTTTCATAAACCAGAACAATCCAAATAGGGGCTTACGCACTTTAATAATCATATACATGCAGAAATGGAATCCAAAGGAGCCCAGATTCAGTGTGTCCACACATCATTTTCCAGTTCTACCAGGGCCAACTGTTATTTGAGCTCCGATTGGAGGATTCCTGTTAAGAGAGCATTAAACCTAGAGCAAACGTTAGGAGAACTGGATTGTGTTTATAATAGTACGGGTATGTGCCAGGCGAAAGGAAAATTGAGATGATGCCTACGCACTTGGCTTGTCTGCCTGTGACAAAATATGCCAGTAGTAAGTCTAAGGAATTCTACTTTCTGTATCTTCTATCTCACATGGAACGCACGCACGTGTACACTCCACAAAAAAGACAACTATTTGTTGTCTTTTCTTTTCTTTTTTCTCTCTGATAGAATAATTTCTTTCCTCCTTTCCTTTTATCAAAAATAAAAGATCTCTTTCTTCCCTCAATATTGTTTTCTTTTATGCATGTCCTTTGTCTGGGAGAGAAACACATATTAACAGTCTCCACAACTCATTGTGCATGTACTTATAGATATATATAATGAACACACACACACACATAGAGAGAGAGAGAGAGAGAGAGAGAGAGAGAGAGAGTTTGTGTGAGTACCAGGAAGGCCCAGTCATGTGGTGATGGCTTGGTGCAGGTGGCAGATAAACCTGATGATCAACTATAATTTCAGGAGGGTGTACATTCGCTTTCTCGGCATACTCTTGCTTTGCTAAATGCAAAACAGACTCAATAAAACCATGATCTGCCTTGCGGCATCGTAGGAGCACGGCAGACTCTCTCAGTCGCAGCAAGCTCTGACAAGACGATTAATAATATTAGCATTCTTCTAAGAAGAAGAACTGAGAAAGTAATTTTAAACTATAAAACATACAAATGCAGTTTGGGGATCTTAGGGATCACATGGATGGGGTAGGGAAATTTTGCGGCACTGAACTCAACGTTTCTGAATTACAACTTCTCAAATCAAAATAAAAAGAAATGGTACCTGTTATACATGTACCTGAACAATCAATTCTTTCATAAGCTTTCTATAAACATGGTGATTGTGGCTAACGTGCACGAGCTCTTTACCCACTGCCTCCTTCATAGAGTTAATCAGATCATCCTGAGCTTGCAGAATTTTTAGACGCGAAGAATTCAATTGCATTGAATACTCACTGCACAATAGATCCTTTAATAGCATTAATTGCAAATAAGCTTAGGATTAGATACACACTCATGCATGTACACACGCATGCATGTGCGCACACAACTTTTTATATGACTACAATATGCTGATGGGGAAGAAAATATAGAAGTCAATAACCAAAATCATTACTCTTCAGGAAACAATTAAAAGAACTCATGAGAAAAAAACAGGCTTTGTTTTGCTACAAAATAAAAAATACTATGAACCGAGAAGAGAGTATAGAAAAGGAGGTAAAAGATCAAAGGCCGCAAAAGTAGACAAACAAGGTTTCTTGAGAATGGAAGCTTAGAGCAATTGGCTCACGGTAAGAAGGAAATGAAAATTTATGCCCTTAAAGCTTTGTTAAAGGCAGCATACAAATTAATGCTTATAAAATAGGAAATCTTGTTTCACTTTGATATGACCATTTATTTTGAGGGTACTTCCCATTGACAAATGAAAACTAAAAAAACAAAACAGTAATAGAAATAATCCCCCAGTACTTTTTCTTCTGTTGAGAGACCATAGCCAGTCACTTCAAGAAGCAAACAGTAGTTCTTCCAATGGATGGGTTAACTAATGAAACTGAAAAGAAATAAGCAAATACATCAGATCTATATTCTGAAATATCCCAATGCAATAACACTTATCAGAATACACAATTTTAAGTAACAGAGATCCCTTGTTGAACCAATCAAGAAAAGAGGGTTGTTGTTGACATTCAATTGAACGAAAAGTGATGCCAATCTTGCACCAGTAAAATGTAAAGGCAAACATGCATACGATATTCAGAGCAACACCAGACAATCATATCCAGGAATGAGGTACATCTTCATAAACAATTACAAGTATTTATTAGCCACTTAGTACAGCGACAGAATCAAATCACTGCATAGAACTAATTTGAAGAGAGTAAGCCAAATCATAGTCAAAGAATTATGTATGCAAACAATGGAACCATACCATTCACAAAAATAATCATAAATAAGGATACATAGATACTTGCTAACAATAAATTTTGGGGTTTTAAAACAGAGGATTGTACATATAAGTGGCATACTATTGCAACGTAAAATCAACTAATGGGACTAAATGATTCAAGTGGAAATATCCTATATAAGGTTAATCAAATTAAAGTTTGATGGAAGCTCTGAGCGCCTTTGGGATAGGAGGTGTGCTCAGAGACCATAAAGGAGAATCATATAAACCTACACCAGGTTGGCTGGAAGTTGTGATGCTAATGAAGCTTAAGCCAAAGTGTTTTTAACGGGCCTTTGTCCATCAGAAATATATTTGTCACCATTGAGGGTGACAAATCTAGGGAAAAACAAGGTGTAGATGCTCCATGGACATTAGCATCATTTTTTTGGGGGAAAATTTTAAGTGATGTTTCAAAACTAAGGCTGCTTTTAGGTGCACTTGGAAATAATCTAATAGGTTTACTGATTATTTGGCGATATAAGGATTAAAGAGGAACTTACAATTATTCAAGCATCACATACTTAAGCTACTTTTCTTAAGAATGTATATGCATCCCATAAAGAAAACAAACATGTATTTGTTTATACCTGTGAATAGAAGAAAACAATAATGAAGCATATGGAATAGAAGAGTGGAGAATGCTCCACAACTACATTCTGCTTGCGGTTTCAATCTCAATGATGGAATGTCCTAGAAGGGCTTGAGCTCCCATTAAAGAAATATGAAACTTTTTAGATGCCTATTCTCTATATATCTCCAACTTCATGAACATTTCCATTTACTGAACTTCAATAAATAAATTCTCAGTCTTAGACTCCACAAGATAGGAGTGAGAAAGGATGCTTAAACATATAACTAGCCACCTCTTTTATGATTAAATACCCAGTTTCCTCTTTTCTTCACTAAATATATTGATTCTTTTTGTTGGTGGTACAAGACCAATGGGCCGGAAATGCAATATTTTAAAATTTTCCATTATATTAAAACTCAAGGGTTTAAATGCATGAATATCTTAATACAAAACCATAATACGTATATTCCAGCCTACAAACATATTTTATACACACGTAAATAATAAAAATTCAACTCTAATAGGTCCTTGACAAATCCTTTACTCAAAAATACAATTAAACTCAATACAATATTCAAATACTCATAATGTACATCTCTACAAAATATTACATGACTTGCACTCACAATTCTTCATTATATCAAAATTATATGATAATTTCATCTTCACTCTTCATCATCATCATATATCACAATGTCTCATACACTTGATCATAATAATCTAATGAGATTTCAATTCACATAAACAATAAAGCATAACATTAAAGCTCATACTGCAAGATTAAAAAACAATCTCAATATTCACACAATATACTCAATTTAACTAATCATGAATCACTTAATAATTGTAAACACATCAAATTAACACACAAACATACATGAGGGAAGCTATGATTCGAACCTCTTGTACCCGGACCACGAAAAGGCCTTTTGAGGACTTATTTTGTCTCATTGTCTAAGGCACGAGTGATAATAATAACTCCATGAGACCAATACAATGGGAAGCAAATTATCACTTTTATATTACTTAATGGTGATCAAATCATGAGAGAGACATGTATCAAAATAGCATTTCAAAGTTTGAGAGAGATACTACACAAAATAAGGGAGTTATGGTAAAACTACACCATGTAGTTCATAAAGGACCACACGAACATTTCAACATTCAAAAAAGAACTCAAGGGACTATTTCATATGCTCAAATATGATGAAATAAACATCTCATCAGTTGTATATTCTCAATAAAAATTCCAGAAACATAAGATCAAGAAAATCAAAGTAAACTACTCAAGATCAAAGAGTAAGCTAGCTAGTCTACACATACTATGTGTATGGACTACACTATTGCTTTGAGACTCTTCAAGTATCAAGTTTTTATGACCAAAAGATGAAGAAAGTTACTGCAAATTAAGAATTATAGCAAGCTTTGATAATGGAAATGAGGTAGGAATTGAAATATAATAAGAAAGATCAATACCTTAGTGAAGAACTACTCCATGGAAGGGTTTCAAATGAATGCTCAATGAATAATATAGTCTCATGGGTGGCCACGTTTTTGTCAAGCAGGCTCTCTCTCTCTCTTTAAAGGGAATACTCAAGTTAGGGTTATAATTGATCTCATAAGTTACTTTTATACTTAGATCATAAAGATAGATTTAATCTTGATCTTTGATGCCTTAGATCAATGGCACATGAGAGGTTTTTATTCAAGCCACTCATCCATATCTTATCACCAAGATCAATAGATGAGCTTTTGACACCCTTCACTCCTTAAAACCTAGGTTTATAGTCATTTTACCTTAAAGCCCTTAGTTCCGTTTTATTTCCCATCAAGTCCAAATTCATATTTACACTTATGCCCATGATTTTTTAATAATTTGTGAGAGTCAATAAAAAATAAGGACATGTATATAAAGGTAATATGGGACATTCGTACATGTGAATAAAATATCTTATGACACCACCAATAGGATTTCAACAACACTAAAGTTTCACATGGGTCAAGCCCATAAGGTGGTGCCACATAAGATATATCCACATGCCACAAAATCATATGTGGATAATAATATAAATCAAATTAATTCTCAAAATCCCATGACTTCACACATGCTAAAAATGGCACATACGAGCAAAAAAAAACATGCGACTTAAATCAAACTTAAGTCATAATAATATATAACACTTTAAATAATAAGAAAACATGTTATAACATAATACCAACAAAACTAATGACAAATAGGTCCCCACATGGATATGACGTCAGCATGATGATATCCATGAGTGGGGAGGTGGGGGTGCCACGTGACATCCCTATGGCCACTAGGGATCCAGTGGCATCCTCATATGATGTCCTTGTTTGGTATTACGTCAAACAAATTTGAAAATCACATTTTTTATTATTTAAAAATTTTGAAAATTTTTCCAAAAATCCTAAAAATTCTCCAAATGATTTTTCAACATTATTACACATTTTCTCAACAATTTTAAATTAATTTGAGCTAAAGGTAAATGAGATCTCTAAACTTATAACATTAGTCGAAGTCTTCTATTCAGCTAACCCGAATGACATTCTACCGGTGTCTCAAGCCGACCCAACGGACCTATGCTTCACAATCTATGACAGGGATATATAATTGGTCACATCAAAGTCGTTGAACCAGAGCTTCCCGTCACCGGGGGTTCAATAGATTACTAGTGCACCCCTGTGGGACATGTTCCTACTCAAATACAAGGGTCCTCTCAAAGCATATGTACACTAGCTCTTCTAAGTTTGATAATACTATCGAAAAGTGGCTTCCCCTACGACTGTGGTTGCACATACCATGGAACAGTCTCGTGTTAGGATACGGGCTCATATCCCATGAGCCGACCATTCCATACAGGGCGAATACTCTTTTAAATATTTGGGTTCTATTATTCTCGATTGGAATCTCCAAACCCTGGCTTATCACATCAACTATGAGGCATTCTAATCAATATAGTCCTGACTAGGAGGTAACCCTCACACCTCCCCGAGCGTTCACACTCTCAAAACACATACTCTCAATGCCTCAAATACTCGGGGTATATGAATATAGGCCCCAGTGCGTCAAGCACCCATATTCAGTCTCTCTCTAACTCGCACTGAGCATAAGACTCTTTGCTTTAAGGCCTTGAAAGGCCACATAGCCAACACCTTTACATATTGGATGCATGAAGACGCAAAACAAAATGACCAATGCAAGATTCAACCCAGTTATAGATACAATCAAGAAACTATCACCCGTTTGAAAGGGATTGACAAACAAGAAATGCAGCGACAAACACAGATATACTAAGTACGCATATCTAACTACCAAAACACCTTAATCTTAAAATTGATGGACCAACCATTAATCTTAAAAGTGAATATAAATATGGGAAGTCTAGGAAGACAAAAGCAAATTATGGCCTAGAAAGATCCTAAGTCACATAAAGATTCCTCAATTCTATTTTTCCCCCAGAAATTTCATTCACTATTATGATGTTAGAAACATTTCCCAAAATCAAGTTTTATGCATTCGTCATCAACAGTCTCTTCACAATGATCCAAAAGAGAAAGCTGGGATGAATAGATCTTCATCATTATAGAACATAAAGAGAGCTTTAGCATACTTGGGTTGCTTTACAAAGTATTTGTCAAAGGACAAACTGCCTATCAAGTCGCCACATGGAGCTAAAAGACAACCATACTAGAGTATAGCACCTTCTGCCACGAATAGTTTTATTGAGTATTGTTCAATATTTAACGAATATCCTTTCCCCGATACAAATACTAATTATATGGAGTAGGTCACTATAAATATGAAGAACACCTATGCCGAAGAGACTAAACTCATTTCACAAAGCACCTAAAATTCAAAAATAAAAATAAAAAAACTCGTTTCACAAAGCACCAATATATATCCAAATTAGCAATAAGACCAATGGAATTTAATCAAAACAACCATAAGTGTTCACTAATGGAAACACTTTTTGGGTAGACCAGCAGTGAGATTTAAACTCAGGACGACTGATCTAACACCTAACCCATATAAAAACAAAATAACTTTGAATGAACCATCTAAACATGTCAGAACTTGTTGGGGAAAGTTTTTTGCACTTCTGCAAAAATTAAATACAGAAAACAGGTATTTTTTAATGAACGGGTGTTTTCGGATGGATAAAATCAGAAATTGTTCCTATGACAAGTTCTGACACACTCAAATGGTTTTCTTGAATTATTAGGAGAGTATAAGGATTATTTTCATAGAATACCTTGAGTAAGATCAAATGTATATTGGGTAACACACAAGCATCACAGTATCTTAGAGAATGTTGGGCACTCATGATATTATAGGCAAGTTTCTCTTCAGTAATCAGAGAATGATGTGGAACCAACCATAAATTCAGTCACCATTGGTTATTAAACCAAATCTCAGTAATTATTCATTCTGAAGTGAAGATCTGATTTGGATTTCTGATGAAATTTGGACTACATTTTCCAAACTCTAACCAGAATTTTTGGGGAACTTCAGCCAATTTGAGGTGAAATCCAGGAATCTTAACCAATATACCAGATCACAGTGCCGGAAAAAGGCAGATACCAAAATATCACAAGTAATTACTACATTATCTTTGTGAATGAGCTAAAGCATGAAAAGTATAGAATATTACATTTTTTTCTTAATTTCAACCTGCTTTTCCTTCCGTTCATATTCATGTCTAATTTTTCTTTTCTCCACTTCAACTAGTTGCAGCTTCTCAATTTTAAATTCCTGCGATGGGAAGAGTAAAGACTATGAGCATGAATGACTAAAAGAGGGAACAAGAAAAAGAATTCCTTTAACAAATAAATAGCTAAGATTGACTAGTAAGAAAATAAATAAATAAATAAGAAAATAATCAGTATCTGATGTAATAATATTCATCTAAATTAATGTTAATATTATATGATACATGAATCTGATTATGCCACTAACAGAGCCCTTTTGCTAAGTGCTAGATCATATGAGCATTAGTAACATTCAAGATCACTAATTCACTATAGAAGTGAGAAACATATGAACCATGATTGTTGGGAGCAGGAGCTAGGTCGAGGATATATTACCATGCCCAAAAGCTCCTTTCCTCAAGAAAGAGCCACTACTGCTCGAATTCACACCATTTTTAGAATGTTGAATTTCATAATTAGGGATATATTGATCTGCTCGAATTCACACCATTTTCAGATCGTTGAATTTGATAATTAGTGCTGGAAATAGATTTCTCAGGCCATCATAGGGGTTTCCAAAACCGGAAATGCATCTTTAGGCAAGGTTTGGAGGTGTGACTTAGTTTGATTGTTTAAGGTTGATGTCATATGTGTGTGTGAGCTCCTATCAGTATAAGGCATATAATCAACATATAACAACTACAAAGAAAATCAACTAATCATACATTTAAGGGCAATGGATCACAATCTCATGCTAAATTGGTTCGAGATCCGGTTAAATGGGGTTGAAGGCATGCTCAAATGAGCATCAGCTCCTGGAATGTGGAACCATATTTTTGGAGTGGGATCATCCCCTAGGGAATGTGCTCCTCATGACTATATATGAAAATAGGATTACACGACACATAGACTTGATTATCTAAGTTGAATGCAAAAGCTAAGTATTGTGCAATGTCAGTTGCCTGAAGAGAAAAGTTTTAGCTACTTGGCCCTCTTGATGATCTGGTTTTCCCATGATTGTAGCCATAGACCGTCATGCTGGTTAGCCAAACGCTATTCAGATTGACATTGTGTTCATGTATATGAGGAATACCAGAGATTGAGAACATAAATGTCAAAATAGCATGAGTTCATCAAAATGTGGGTTGCCTAGACAATGATGGACAAACTTCTACCAAGCGTTAAGTTTCTCTCTGAGGTAGTATGAGACTAGTTTTTTATTTGGAGACTCATCAAAATCCACACAAAAGAAGTGTCCCTTTCATGTTCCTTGTGACATGATCCTTTACAAGTAGCCTTGAATGGTGAATATAAGTAGGTACTTGTTTTCTAAAAACTGTCAATGAAACCAAATTCATAGCCAGTTCAGGAAAATGCAAAACATTCAATAAAATAATGGAATACTAGGAAGCTAAAACTTAGTTTCAAATGCATGCATCCACTATCAAGAATATCAAAAATGATATAAACAGCAATTCAGATTTTGGCATCAACCACTATAATTCAGAATGTGGATAAATTAGCTCTATCTCTTATCAATAGGAGACATCAATTAAGAGTTTATGGAAATTACCTGTGGTACAGTTAATGCCAAGACTTAGGCCCATCTTTTGACAAGCTTGAGAGAAGTAATTTCATCTTGTGTCATCCAGACTTCAGATGATGAGGACTCGCAATCTGAGTTACACTAACCATAAAATCGACGTAGTAGTTGGAGCAATTACAAGTGGTTGAGTAGGAAGACTTCCATGCTTTTCAAATGGAGGTCTCTTAGGCACTATGTCCAAACTCTATACAATATCCGTACATCATCCTCTTTTTACATCTGGTGAGCAACCTATCTCCCATCATCATTATCCGAGACTTAGCCCAACTATTTAGGGTCGTCTATACAAATTCATGAAAAGATGTGGGAAAGGTTTATGCTGGTTGCCTACCTAACACAACCTTCCTCCTTTACCTGAGCTTCGGACTAGCATAACTGGCATGGGGCCGACCGAGACAGAGTTTGCAGCTTATCTCCAATCATGTATCAAATTCGGCTTCGAAGTATCTCTGCCAGATGTCGCTTAAAGTGCAAGATATGCCAAGTGCTCTAAATTATAGACATCCAACGTATTCAAACTTGTTGCTTCTACCAGTATCTCAGACTATGTCAGCTAAAGTAAGTAGGGAAATCTACTGTGTGAAGCATTAGAGCCCTCACATGCTCAATTTAGGTAATGTCTCACTAAAATTGCATGATGTAACCTTTTGCTTTTTTTTTCTTCGTTTTTTTTTTTGAAACCTCCATAAGGTCTAATTCATTTCTTAGAATTTCGTATTTCCATCATAACTATTTCCTTGACAGGAGTGCCAATACACAAGAGAATTCCTGGACAGATTCAGCTCCTTAAGACATATTCATGGCCTCATGTTCAAGTTGATCAACCCTACGCATGATTTTAGTTGATGATACACATGTTTGAGAGAGAGTTCCATGTCCCCTGATAGGCTGATATGCAGTAAACCTTGATAGAATTCCAACATCAGCATAATTAGGACCCATGTAAAGGGCTACAATTTGTGTCTCATTTATGTACCAACTCCATGTCATCCTTGGATTGGGAATTCACATATCCCCCTCCACTCAACACAAATCATGACATAAACTTTTAGACAAAAGGTCCACAGGTATAGCTATTCACATTCAAACTATGACTGAAGCCATGGGGTCCACTGATGAGATGGGTTTGATTCCATAGAAGACAACCCAAAATGAAGAGAGGAAATAAACAATGCACTATTTTGTATTTAAAAACCACCAACAAATTGCATATATCTCTCTATATACAAGTTGACTCTCTCAAATTTGGAATGAGCAACAACATGGACAGGGCATGCTACTCCGAAAAAAAATGGGAAATATTACCTAGGTTCAAATTGAAAAGCTCAAAGAACATAGTAGGATATTTTTTTTGGAAGTAACACAAGCACATTCTCAAAAAAAAGAAAGGGTAAAAAGAAAAGAATATGGTTGCATTTTAAGTGATTTTCTGAGTTTCATTTTTTATATTTTTTTATATTATGCTTAGGTTGGTTTCTAGAACTGAGTTTTCTAATCCTGGGTTCCAATTTTGGATAGCTGTAGAATGTCTTCAAATTATATCAGGTTTAGTTAGTCATTAGGAGTCTTTTGCTTTAGGTGAATGTTTGGGTGTCCATTTTTTAAGTTTTAGTCTGGGTGCCTTGTATAGCAGCAGTTTTATTCTACACGAACTTACATCAGAACATTCTATAACTGTAAAAAACCCTTGGGTTAGACTAGGCTCATATAGGGCCTCTAGACCTTGCTGATTTGCTCTCTTCATATTCTTGCTTGCAGTTTATAACATGAGCCAAATCGGATTAAAAATCTAAGCATAAGGAAGAAGGTTGTAGGGACCAACTAGAGCAAAAATGAACAATAACTGGTCAAAAATGAACCCCCCAAGTTACTTTTTTTTTTTTCGAAACTGGAAATGAACCCCAAGTCTTGATCAAACTAGTAAGAATCCCGTACCATAAAATGGATTTGGTGCCAAGAAGCTCATGTTGAAAGAGGGTGAATCAGTGTTTTAAAATGAAGGATGCGGCCCGATGCGTTGGGGGGGCCGACGCGGCGATGCGGCTCGAAGCAGTCCGGATGGGGGTGCATCACCACGACGCAATCAATAAATATAAAAAATTCTAAAAAATCTAAAAAAAAATAAGTTAATCCATAAAAAAAATATGGAGATGATATATGTGATAATAGGTATATAATTTATTCATTAACTCCAAAAGTATCAGCTTTCAGAGATTTTGTATCCACTATCCCCTGATAGAAACTAGAAACTTGAAACACTTCATAAAATATCAACAACCATAAGCACAAATTTGCAACCACAAACTTTAAAGTTACAAAATACAAACTAAAAGTCTATAAAGATTAAGGAGTTCAAAACTCAAGCTCAAGAGTCAATAGAATGATCAATTCATCATCATTTTTCAAGTCTTGGGAGGGAAATTAATCAGAGAAGAATCTCAATTTCAAATCCTAATCAGAGAAGCTATCTTGAGAGTCGCCATGTGCATTATCATCACTATCATCCTCGGCGTCGTCCACATATTCTTCTTCCTCGATCTCCTCTGAATTAGCCTCCTCCTCCTCTTCCTCCTCCTTGACCTCTGAAGCTGATGTGCGACTAGACCCAGCTCTACTCCTTTGTGCTCTAGTGTTAGGCCGTTCTTCTTCATTAGCCCCTGTGGCTAGCTCGACATCAAGCCAAGTAAGTTCCTCACCTCAGGTTCATACAATTGAATAAAGGTTGAGATCCACGCGCTTTTGATACCTCTGCCTAAGCCGCTCATTATACCATGCATAAAGATTCTTCATATGTATTTGAGGTTCAAACATTCTTCATGTGGGTGGGACAAGCTCCGCCCTAACCCATGGCGAGTTACTCGCACCTGAGTCCTATATAGGGGCAAAAAGCCTTAGAAAAATTAAAAAATAGAAAAAAATATGAAAAATAAAATGAAGGTTGGAAATGTAAAAATACCAAAAGCAACGTTAAAAAGTCCAAACAAGCTTAAAAAAGTATCGAAAGTATATAAAAAGCGAATTAAAAAAATAAGAGATTTTAAAAAATTGATTTATAGTTGGGGATATTTAAATAAAAAATCCAACTAAAAGGAAAGCATAAAAATAGGGGGCAAAAAACACTCATCAATCTTTGCCAAAACATCCACATGATGTACAAAAAATTTATACAGTATTCAAAAAAAATTTTCCATTTATGTACACCGAGTTGTATGTACAACTCAGGGAAACTCTGACTCAACCGAGTCCAAGTCCCTTAACACTGGTGTTGGACATTGCATTCAATAAGATAAAATTGAATAGAAGAAAACAAGTTATGAAATGGAAATGACATTTCTCAAAATCCTGCACAAGACTAATATATAAGATCCAAACCTCGAAAACTGGCCAAGGGCCAAGTCCAAGTAACAAGTAAATTGGCCGGTTCCACTTAATCGGGCATCTCCTTGCCAATCCAAAAAGTGTTAAAAAATAAAAAAATATAAAAAATCTAAAAATTATATTTAAAGCAATGATAAAACAAAACACATCCAAATGAAGTTGAAAAGTAGTGAGAAAATGGATTTTCGGAAAACAATTTGTGCCCAAGGATATTTTTGAAATTTTCTAAAAAAATATGGGAAAATATAAAACTAAGTATCCCATGGCCAAAACACTTTCCAATATTTGCCAAAACGATGAAAAAAACATTCAAAAACACATTGCAAACAAATCCCTTATTTTTTAGGATTTTTTTTTGTTTTTTTTTAAACTAACCTGCCAGACAACCATAACCGGATCAGCAAGTGCCTGGTTCCGGTTTGACTGGCCGGTTCTGAGTTGGACTGGCCGAGTTTGCAAACACTGGTGTGGAATCAAATCGTAGTAGAGTTACTGAGAAGAAGAGAGAGCTGGAAGACAGCAAATCCTTCCCTTCATAAACCTTTCAGAACATTCTTGCTTGAAAGTTCTACACGAAGCATTTATACAAACAGTTAAACATGCATTTCATACCGTATAACAATAAAACACGATACATGTTATGATAATTACATCCTCACGTCATTAGAACAACATTTACCAAAAAAAAAAATTTTGAACCAGGTAATATAAAATTTAGTGGGATCTAAAGCAATAAAATCAAAGTTGCATAATGTGATTCCAATTTAGACAGGAAAAGGGCTCTGATCCAGCCCAAATCCACGTCTGCATAGACATTACATACAGACAATAATCCAAAAATAATGAAACCAGCTAACAAAAGTGAAGGGAGAGAGCGAGTGAAGCTTATACTTCTTCAGCAGAGAGAGAGATCTCGTTGGCCTTCTCCTCAGCCTCCTGGCAAATGAAGCACACCATCTGCTGTATTTGATTCGAAACATCTGCATCATCCATCTTCTCTCTCCCTCTCTCTCTATGCAACTATGAATGATGAGCAACGGTGGAGGGAGGGAGGAGGATTCAGAATTCAGACCAACTGAGGACCGACAGAGTGGACTTGTTTGTGCCATAATTATAAGACGCTTCAAATTTCGGTATTTTAATCAATTTGCTTTATATACTTTTATTAAATACACCTCAATACGTATACACGTTCCAAATTAGAGGTCATTTTAATTTATAAAAATAAAAATAAAAAATAAAATACTACCGGATAATCGTAACCATAGAATAGACTTTGAACGGTGATGAGAATAGACAAAATCACTATTTATTTTCACCAATAAGTGTTGAAAAGACTTTTCCTTAAGACGGTGTAAAATTATTGAATTTAATCTTTGGCTCAAGTTTGATAATTTGATTGTAATGGTCGTACTTTCTTAGTTTTTATTAATTTTTTATAATTTTACCTGGATGTTTCAGACCCTATTATAATTTTATTTTTTGATATTATAATCTCTCTTGCTCTTTAAAAAGATTATATGGGTTTAAAGGAAAAAAAAAAAAAGATTCTCCTTTAGGTTACTATTCTTCTACTTCTACCTATTATTTTGAGATATATGATTTTTTTTATAAGAAAATATGTCTGTAGACCTTATTTTTAAGTTTGATTTTTCTGTAAACCCAAGGTTTTAAAGCTTATCTAGCTGCATAAAGATTCTATTTATTATATCTTCAAACCCCTAGACCAATTTTATCTTATGCTTTAACCCAAATAAATTTTACAATGACATCATTTTTAAACTCCTCTCTCTCCATTTTTTTTCTTTCTTTCTCCAATCTTCCAAACCCTTCTCTCCCTCTATTCCCCCAACTCTCTCTCCCTCCCCCGGGTCTCTCTCCATATTCACCCAACTCTCTCTCTCCCCGTGAGTGTCTCTCTCCCGATTCCCCCAACTCTCTCTCTCCCAATGAGAGAAGCACGTGAAGATAGAGAAAGCTAGGTTTTTTTAGAGAGGTCTTTTTCAAATTTGTTTGGCCTAAAATGTTAAAGTAAAAATGGGTAAACATAGTTTAGGGGGTTAGAAGATATAAAAGATGAAATCTCTATGTTGTAAGCTCGGTTTGAAAAGTTTGGGTCTATGGAGAAATGAAATTTAAAAATTGGGTCTACAGAGATATTTTCCCTTTTTTGTATAACAATATCTTTGGGGAATATATTGCTTGTATTTTTTTTTGATATTTTTTTAATGGAACTCAATAGTGCAATTTTTTATAGAAATTTTTGTTAAACCAAGATTCTTAATTTACTCCCATTGTTAATATACTTATCTGTACATTAAAATTCAATAATATTAATTTAATGAAGAAATAAAGTTATAGGGAAAATATTTTTCATTATGTTTTTTCGAAAAAGGATAAAATTCGAATTTATATCGGTTCCATTAAAAAAACTTGATTTTTTGAAGACTTTTTTAAAAACTCGTAATTTTTAACGAATTTCAAAAAATCAGAGTTCTTTTGGAAAAATCGTGTCTTAAATGGAGACTTGCTAATTATGTGTTGGACTGTCTTCTTGGGGAGCAAAAGCGCATCTCGTATGAAGTATGGACATTAAACACAAGAAAGAAACTTGGGTTAAAAAGTTGGAGTTAGGTGCAAACAAAAATCAACTTTGGTCGGAAAAAATTAATTTATTTTTTCTTGGGGTTAGGTGCTAACAAAAATCAATTTTGAAGTTATGTTCAAGAAGTATTTATTTTGTTTTTTGGTTGTTTGGGGGGATTTGGCAAACTTTCTTCACATTCTATGTTTGATGTGTCCTCCTTGTGGGATCCAAAGGAAAATGTGCATGCTTTTTTGCACTTCTTTTTTTCTTTTTGAGAAAATACTAGCTTCATTAAGATAATGAAAGATTACATGAGGAAGAAAAGCGAGAGGAAAAAGAACCAAAAAAGAGAAACGTGAGGAGATAGATAGAGGAGAGAAGAAGAGAGGGAGAAAACACTAGGATCAGTCAAGAGGTGGCCTCATTTGTCAAGAAGTCTGCCGTAGAATTAAATCCACGAACAACGTGAGAAAAGGTGATCTCAAACAAACTAAGTGACAGAAGAATTTCATTCATGAGGCCACTCAACCTCCAAGTGGAGTCCGGGTAAGTACACCAGGAAATGACATTTGCTGAGTCTCCCTCGATGATCAACCTATGAAACGAGGGGTTCAAAAGAAAAACATCTTTTTGCAATGCCCATAGTTCAGCTTCATTAGCCTCACACTGATGCAGCCTCCCTGAGTACGCCTAGAAAATTGAGCTCAAATGATCTCGTAGGTTCCCCCTAGCTAGTAATATGACCCTTCACACTGCCATTGAAGTTAAGTTTTACCTATCCACTCGGATGTGCTTTCAAAACAAAATGCTTGGTAGGACGGTTGGGTTTGAATAGCAGTAACTGTGGGGAGTGCGTAAAGAGCATGTCCCTGGGATCAGCTTTAAGGAGGAGAAAGGAATGGGCCCAAGTAGCAATGGAACGTTGAACAGTTTCGAGGAAAGAAGACAAGTCTCTGCTGTGACGTTCAAATATTCTCTAGTTTCGTTCCCTCCACAGGTTCCATAAGACTGCTGCAACAAAAATCCTCCCGAGCTTAACTCCTAGGGTAGAGAAAGGAGGGGTCCATAATTGTTGAATCAAGGCATGTGTCGCCGTATGTCTTAGGCTAATCCAATTAGCAAAGCCCAACAGCCAGTTCCACAAGGTTGACATAAAAGGATAGTGGATAAAGGGATGGTCAATTGATTCTTCATCACTTTTGCATAACAAATAGATATTGTTAAGGATCAACGCCATTCTCCTTAGACAATCAACGATGATGAGTCTCTTTAAGCATAGCAACCATAAAAGGGTTTTGACTCGATGGGGAACTTTACAACTCTAGAACTTAGCCACTGAAGGCCTATCCTCGATATAGTGGTCCTTATGAATCACATGGTATAAAGAAGAGGCCGAGAACACACCACCCGGTTCCAGGGACCAAATGATCCTATCTGGTTTCCTAGGATAGAAGCAAAAGGCATACAGCAACGCTAACAAGGTCTGGAACTATTCAACAACAGAAGCATTAACCCTCTGAGTGTTGATCCTGATATTCCAAAGCTGTTGGTCCCTAGAAAGAGATATTATATTAGCAAGCATCGCCTGTTTCTGCGTTGATCTATTATAAAGATTAGGGTAAAGGAGTTTAAGTGGATAGTCTCCATTCATTTAGCATGCCAGAAGCGTGTTTGGGCTCCATCACCCATTAAAATTACTGAGTAGGCTAGAAAAAGAGGTCTAACTCCTTGAATCCCCCTCCAAACTAGTGAGAGTTGGGACAATCTTGGGCATCTTTTTGCAATAAAGCCGTCAGGGTCCCTTCCATATTTGTCGAGGATGACCCTTGCCCAAGTTAATCCCTATTATTAGGAAGCCTCCACCACCATTTGGTAACTAGCGACTCATTGACAGCTTTTAATTTTCGGATGCCAAGGCCCCCTTCCTTTTTAGGGAGACAGACCGAAGCCCAACTTACTAAATGAACTTTCCTGTTCGATTAAGAACCACTCCAAAGAAAGTTTCTCACAAGAGACTCCACCTTGTGGATAATAGAAGCAGGAGCTAAGAATAGGGACAGATAAATGGGTAGGTTAGATAAAGTGGCTTTAATGAGGACAGAGCTGCCCGCAAATGACAAGAATCTTGCTTTCCACCCACCTAACTTGAATAAAACTACTTGCATGAGAGGATTCCATAAGGATCTAAACGACGATCCATTGAGCAGAGGGAGGCCTAGGTACTTGATGGGGAATGTTTCAATCGCACATTCCAGCCACAATGCCCATGTTGATATTTCTAAAGATAGGCATTTAATATCAATGATTTTTGACTTGTCCATATTACTTCGAGCTCCAGAAGTAAGCTTGTAAAGCTTTAGGAACAACCAAACATTCTGGATATTCTCATCATTGGCTTTCATCAAAATTAAGGCATCATCAGCATACTTGAAGAGACTTAGAATAATCCGATTTGGCCAAGCAAGTAATCCTTGGATATGCCCCCCATCCACCGCACCTTGAAACATTTTGCTGAAGGCTTCTGCCACCAAGGTAAAAAGGAAGGGGGAGAGAAGATCTCCCTAACGTAAGCCTCTAGTAGCCTGAAAATAGTCACTAGCCTTGTCATTGATAAGCATCGAGAAATGGGCAGATGATAAACACCCCCTAATCTATTTTCTCAAAAAACTCCAAAACCCATAGCTCCATAATTTTGAGGAAGTCCCATTCCACCTAATCATAAGCTTTTTCGAAGTCCAGTTTCAATAAGATTCCTTTAGAGCCAAAGGTATCAGCTGAGTGAAAGGTCTCTTGAGCCAAGAGAATGTCATTCATTATAAAGTGGTCATTAATAAAAGCCGTTTGTGGGCCATCAACCACCTCATTTAAGACTAGGTGCAGCCGATTGACCAACATCTTAGCCAGGATTTTATATAAGGCCGAAAGCAAGCTTATTGGTCTAATATCACGAAGGTATTGAATAATGCTCTTCTTTGGGATAAGGGCTATAAAAGTGAAATTAATAGCGTTGCTGACGAAACCATCCACAAATAGCTGGTTCACTCAAGCCATAATATCCGATTGGACAACATCTCATAACTCTTGAAAGAAGGCTAGAGGGAAACCGTCAAGTCCAAGCGCCTTATCCCTCCGTAGATTAAAGTCAGCCTTTTTAACTTCATCAATTGTGAAAGGTACCTCAAGATTGGCCACCGAAGAAGGGGATAGCTTCTTGAAAGGCACATAGTTTATGTCAAAAGGTAGTCTTGACTTTGAGGAGAAAGCCAACCGAAAGTGGTCAACAATCACTACCTCCACTGCATCCTGATTGTCCATGTCGACACCATGGATAGACAAACCACTGATACAGTTCGATTGATGCCTACAATTAGAAATGGCGTGGATTTATTTGGGATTCATATCCCCTACTTTAACCTATCTGGTTCTGGATCTTTGGTACCAAATTCTTTTCTCCATCTTGAGTAGATGATCCAAGTTATACTTCTTTGCATTCCTCTCAGAGATTTGGTCTG